TGGGTACTTTTTTTTTTGAGTTGGAGTCTCAATCTTGCCCAGACTGGAGTGCAGTGGCCGTTCCCGGCCCCTGCAGCCTCGCCTGCTGGGCTCTGGCGATCCTTCCGAGTAGTCGGAATTACAGGCGTGTGCTACTACGCCCGGCTGATTTTTTGATTTATTGTAGAGATGAGGTCTCGCCTGCCCAGGCGGGTCTCGAACCCGCGGGCTCAGGCAATCCACTCACCTCAGCCTGCCAAAGGCGCGGGATTACAGGCTGAGCCACCAAGTCTGGCTTGGGTACTTTTTTTTTTTTTTGAGTTGGAGTCTCACTCTGTCGCCCAGACTGGAGTGCAGTGGCTGCTTCTGGCCACCGCAGCCTCAACCTGCTGGGCTCCGGTGATCCTTCCGCCTCAGTCTTCCAAGGAGCCAGAATTACAGGCATGCGCTACTACGCGCGGCTGATTTTTTGATTTATTGTAGAGATGAGTTCTCGCTGCCCAGGCGGTTCTCGAACCCGCGGAATCGGGCAATCCACTCACCTCAGCCTCCCAAAAGCCCGGGATTACAGGCTGAGCCACCGAGCCCAGCTGGGTACTTTTTTTTTTTTTAAAGATACAGGGTCTTGTTCTGTCAGGCTGGAGCGCAGTGGCATGATCATAGCTCACTGCAGCCTCGATCTGAGCTCATGTGATTCTCCCACCTCCACCTTCCAAGAAGCTAGGACTACAAGCTTGCCACCACACCTGGCTAATTTTTTTTCTTTTGGAAGAAACAGGGTCTTGCTATGTTGCCCAGGCTGGTTGCGAACTCATGGGTTCAAGTGAAGGCCCTGCCACCCCTTTTAAAATAAAACAACCTGAGCCAATATAAAGCATCTGTGAATTCCAGCTGGCACACACGAGTTTTTATTACAGTATATGCGTTACAGCACTCTGAACCTAACATATTAAAGTACTTCAAAATCTTCGTGCATTTCACATACACATTTTTTAAAAACATGAGAGTAACTATTTCATGATGGTTTTGAAAATCAGGAATCAATGTAAAATTACATCACATCCTTCTGGGAACCTGAACTAATCATATGGTTTCTTTCCTCTGAGCAGTTAGTATGGCAAATTAAAAAATTTCGTATTCTTGAATTCTTGAAATTAACTTGGTCATTATGGGTTCTTTTTTTAGTGTTTTAATAAATTTTATTTGCAAATTGATAATAAACCATTCCTAGGAATACATGCAAGATAAATGAAAACATATACCCATACAAAAACTCCTACATGTTTATATGTTTACAGCGTTATATATAATAGCCAAAGGCAGAAACAAAACCAAATGTCCACCAACGATTGGAGACACAAATCATGTTATACTATTCAGTCATAAAAAGGAATGAAGCACTGATACATGCCACAACTGGGGTGAAACTTGAAAACATGACACTAGCTGAAAACCAGACACAAAAGATCACATACTGTATGACTGCTTTTAAATAATGTATCAAGGATAGGCAAATCTATAGACAATGAAAGCTGATTGGAGGTTACCAGAAGATGAGGGAAAGGGAGAATGGGGAGTGATTATTTAATGGGTGTGGGGTGATGAAAAAGTTCTGAAACTGGAGAGAGGTGGAGGTTGCACAACACTAATCACTGCTGATGCAGCTTTAAAATGGTTATTAGTATATTACGCTAATTTCACTTCATTAAAAAAAATGATACAAAGTGACTGTATAAAATACAATGACATTGGTCTATAGTTTTCTTTAATTTGTAATTGCTTTCTTTAGGTTTTTCATTATTTTTAATAGCCAGAAAAAATTTTTAAATATAAACCAGAAATTTAGGTAGGGATAAATTCTGCATTAATTATATAGATAAGTTATAAATAAAGATAGAACTATTTACAACAGTAAAAAGATTTTTCAACATTTATCTACAGTATAGCTCAATTTGAAAGAGAAGTCCATGTTCCTTAATTAAAAGGGCCTCTTTCAAAATGACTTTATAATAAAAGGAAATGCTTAATCTCCATTATTTTGCATTTTTAATCTGAGATAATCCATTAATCCATAAAAATTCAAACTCTCTGCCCACAATATGGTTCTGAACTTTTACCTAATAAATCCAAATTAAAAATTTCCTTAACTCAACACCAAATGTCATAAAAGCAAAATAAATCAATCTCTTAAAGAGGTATACATTATTGTTAATTTCTTTAAGTAGCTTAAGTAATGTATGACAGACTATCTTAAGGCATTGTAAAAGTACAGTTACCTTTTCTTTTTCAGATGCATCCTTTGACTTCTTTTTCTTTTTTAAACTATCCTAAACAAATACACATATGCATCAGTTTTAAATGTAAAGGACACAACATTATAGAACAAGGACAAATATACCCCCAAAGTGATTTGCTCAATGGTAAGAGTTACTCTGATCCCAGCACATTATTCTGAAAGTGTAAGAAAAATATGTGTTGTATACACATTTTAAGTATGGTGCTCGCTCAAAAAATGGCATTAAACAAATGAATGCTAGTGTCACCATGCGACAGGCAGGACAGTCAAAGAAAATGGTGAAAACATGGTTGAATGAATGTCCTATTACACACTGCTACTGTAATTCAATGCAAGTTCAAAAGGTAATAAATAAGGCCGGGCACAGTGGCTCACACCTGCAATCCCAGCACTTTGGGAGGTGAAGGCAAGAAGACTGCCTGAGCCCAAGGGTTCAAGACAAACCTAGGCAATTTGACTAGACCTCTTATCTACAATAAACATAATAAATTAGCTGGGTATGGTGGCACGTGCCTGTAGTTCCAGCTCCTTGGAAGGCTGAGGCAGAAGAATCACCTGAGCCTAGCAGGTTGTGGCTGTGGTGGCCATGAGAGCATGCCACTGCACTTCAGCCTGGGTAAGAGTGAGACTCTGGCTCAAAAAAGAAAAAGAAAAGAAAAAGAAAAGAAAAAAGAAATATATAGATAACATCTCTTAACACGTGCACACTTTTTTTTTTTAGCATCCTCTGTATATACAAATATTTGCTTGTAAGCAAACAGACTTCTTCATTTACCTGGCTATATATCAAATTTATATACCCCTAAAATGATATTGTCTACAATACCCACATGGCTTGTTTTAAAATATGGTTTTACAGCATCGTATTCACATGTACAGGGATTCTAATTCTGGGAGGTAACAATTCCTCCCTTTAAATTTTTTTGTTCTAGCTTTTAATCTCCCTGATACTGCTTCCTTATCCACTTTATGTGTAAAGTGGATTAACAAATAACTACTTCCTAGAGTTGTTGAGAAGATTAATTGAGTGAATATGTCAAGTACTTAGAACAGTGCCCAAGACACAGTAGGCATTCAATAAATGTTAGCTATCATTACCACGAGAAAGGCTCTTCTGCTTTAAAAGCAAAGGGGAAACCAACATTTACCAAGTCCTTTCAAGATGCCAGGTATTTCACCAGAACACATCTCAGTGGGGCTATGTAATCCAAACTGCTGTTTTGGTTTCCAGAGACCCCATATAGTGTTTTTCCAACTGCGGTCCATAGACACTTCACTGTCAGAGTCACACAGGGCATCATTAAAAATGCAGACTTCTGAGTTTAACCAAGAGTTTCACAACTTTTTTTCCTGACCACTGAAGTCTGAGAGTCAACCACGCCTGACAATTCTGGACAGTACGTAACAAACTTAGGTACAGTACAGTAGAAAGGAAACCGGAACAGACAGCAGAAGATATAGCTTCAACTTACAATTCCAACACGAGCTGTGTGATTTTAAGTGAAATGCTTTTTGTATGAAGTACAATTTCTTTATGAAAACAGGGAAAATTACATAAGTTGTCATGGAGATGTGAAGACGTGAAGATATATGTCAAAGCACTTGAAGATTATGAAATACTACATAATCTTCAAGTGCAAGATATCATCAAATACATCATTCAAGTGGCACAGAACATCAGAATATGAAAGTCAGACAGTGCCTCGTTTTAAAATTGAGAGCTATTTAAAATAGGAAGAAAAACTTAATTAAATGTCTTTGCTATCCAAAATATTAACAAGTTAAATAATTTTACCTTACTGTCTGATTCAGTTTCTGACACAGAGCTTTCAGAAGATTTATGTGAACGGTTCTTCTTTTTTTTTCTCCGTTTTCCTTGCTTCTTCTCCTACATGAAATATTTTTAGAAACATTTGCATTTTGTTTCAAAAATATGATTTATATATCTTATAAATTAAAACTTTTATCAATTAACAACATTTAAACAAAGGACCAGCTTGTACATATGGATTTTTCCTTAATCATATTTAAGATTAATCACATTGCTTTCCTGTTTTATAAAAAAAGCCAAGTGTTCCCTAGCATCTAGCTAAACAGCATTTCAGATTTTTTTTTTTTTGAGTTGGAGTCTCACTCTGTCACCCAGGCTGGAGTGCAGGGGCACGCTCACAGTCACTGCAGCCTCGATCTGCTGGGCTTAGGCTATCCTTCCGCCTCAGCCTTACAAGTAGTTGGAACTACAGACACATGCCACCATGCACGACTAATTTTTGTGATTTATTGTAGAGACAAGGTCTCACCAAGTTACCCAGGCTGGTCTTGAACCCCCAGGCTCAGGCAATCCGCTCACCTTGGCCTCCCAAAGTGCTGGTGTTAAAGGCTGAGCCACTGCACCTGGCCCAGATTTTTCAAATGTGTTTCTTCTACTGATATTTTCCAGTGACCAAAACAAATTTTAAAATCTTAAACAAAAATATCATATACTAATATTTAAGTTATCACTCATTCATGCCAGTGCTCTAAGTAATGGACAATTAACTAAAATATGGAAGTAAACATTTCTCAGATATTTCACAGTGAGTTTCCTATTGACATTAAAGAAATTAGAGATATTAATTCATAAACCATTATAAGCAAGCCTTACCTCATCTTCAGAATCAGAAGAACTGCTGGAAGAATCAGAGCTTGATGAAGAAGAAGATGAATACTTGACCAAGCACAAAACAATTAAAACTTGTGAGATGCAGGAATTTTTTTCTTTTACTAACTCTCTCAAATACTTAGTGAAATTAATCTGGCATCTGAGACACAGATGCCATATTCATAAGACATAAATATTAAGATAAAAATGTCATACTTGCTGCTCCCCACCCTCCAAAAGCTCAACAAAGCAACAACATTATGTGGCAATGGTCATCAATCTTCCTATTTAAGTAGAAACAGAAAAGTTACTAAGTTATAAGGAGGCTGGCACCTTTTATTCCTATCACCCATAGGACAAAACAATCCATTACAACCAAAGGACCTCTAGGTTCTTTGATTCATCCAGAGTGTAAGTCACTTTAGCATTCAGGCTAAATAAATTATTCTTACTTTTTTTGAAGGTTCTTAATTATAGGATTTAGAAAAATGGAAAACTTTTGCTCACCCTACCAGATTTCTTCTTTTCTTTTTTCTTTCTCTAAATGGAAACAAAAGTACAAGTCTAAATAAGTTGATGTGAGTTTTCAAATGTATCTATTATTTTCAAATGTACTATTAATAGTAATATACAACATTATTATGAACCTCCAACTATGAGATTAAGAGTAGCAATAAACTAAAAATGGCATTACCTGTCTTTTTTTGGATGAGCTCTCACTTCCACTTAACAATTTCTCCCTGTGTTTTTCTAGTTCTTTCTTCCAGTTCTGCGAAAAGATTATAAATACCATCAGAGGCTATCGACCCCTTCTAAGACACCTAATATATAGAAGTAGCAACTGCTTCCTCCCCCAACCCTCTGATAAGCCTCATCCACCTCAGCATCTGATTACAGACAAGATACCCAGATGCCAATTCCTGACCCTATCTCCAAAGAAGCCTCTTCTCACTCTTTTCTTTTGCTTTCTCTTTTTTTTTTTTTTTGAGTCGGAGTCTCACTCTTGTCTCCCAGGCTGGAGTGCAGTGGCACACTGCTCACAGCCACTGCAGCCTCGACCTGCTATGCTCAGGTGATCCTTCTGCCTCAGCCTTTCAAGTAGCGGAATTACGGGCACATGACACTACGCCCGGCTAATTTTTTAATTTATTGTAGAGATGAGGTCTTGACAAGTTGCCCGGGCTGGTCTTGAACCCCTGGGCTCAGGAAATCCTTTCACCTCGGCCTCCCAAAGTGCTGGGATTATAGGCGTGAGCCACTGTGCCCGGCCTTTCACTCTTTTCAAAGAGGATACTGGGATGAGAGTTCTCCTGCATTTGGAGAGGAGGAGTAGGGATCATTACTGAAGCCAAAGTCTTTTTTCTTTTCAACAAAGATGGCTAGATTCTCATTCCAGACCATGAAAGCTGAATTAATCTATACTGTGATTAACAAGTGACATACATGTTTGTAACCTTGAAACCGAAACAGATATCACCATGGAATCCCAGGGTAAGATAGGAAGTATGGGGGAGGAAACTAACATTTAGATAATTTATGGTTATTCTCTTCTTTCTTTCTTACTTTTTTTTTTACTCTCTTATTTCTTAAAGGAAGCATACATTTACATACAAACCTGTATTCAATGTAACAATAGCACTTCTAAAATACAGAACCTCCTTAAAATAAAAATGGTATACTTGGTTTATTAAAAAACGAAACATATAAAAGTTCATTTTTATTATCAGAAAAATATTAGTTTTTTCAAAAGGTACTTTTTACAAACCTCATTCATTTTTTCTTCAAATTCAGCCAAAGCTTTGGAGCCTTTCTTTTTCTTTTCTAGTTGCTCTTTCACTTCTTCCCTTAAAAAATAGAATATATAAGTAAAATAGCAAGCAATTCGAGTTCAATACATGCTTACAAATCAAACCAAAATTTCACAATCTTTTCTTAATATTCAAATAGTCCTCCATTCCAATGTTGATACATGCTAATTTTTTTTGCTTACATCCATATATATAAATTATTATAATAAAGACCACCAGATAAGACCAATCATTCCCCTTCTGAGTACAGATTATAAGAGCTAATATCCCAAATACCTAAGTACTTGCAACAGGCACTGTTTTAAATACATTTTCATTTAATCCTCATAACAACTCTGTGAGAATAGGCTTATATCCCTGTTTTACAGAAACTGAAGCCTGAATAAGGTAGAGAATCTGCCTATGGTCATCAAGGCTGGCACTTTCAGTGTGAGGGTGAGCTAAAGCTAGTCTACCACTAAGTGACCCATTCCGTAACATGCCTGACACGCTGTGCAGAGAGTGCCCACAGACCAGGCCTGACTGCTTATTTTCAGAAAGGCCTGCTCACAAGATTGGCCCTAGGAGTTCCTAGTTGAACACATGGAGGTTCCTGGAGGGTGGCAGCACGAAGGGCATGGAAGCCCCACACTGTTTTTGCCCAAAAGTATTTAAAAAAGAAAAAAAGGCTGGCTTTAGATGGGCACCTGGGAACTTGGACTTAGAGAGTTCTCACCATTCCCTGATAGGAACAGATCATTATGCCTAAACAGTTTGTACAAACAATGGAATTAAGGTTGAAAACCTACTTTTCTTCTGGGAATCTAGAATTTTGTTTTTCTTTTGTTTTTTTGAGTTGGAGCCTCCTCCATCACCCAGGCTGGAGTTCAGTGGCATACTCACGGCCACTCCAGCATAGACCTGTTGGGCTCTGGAGATCCTTCTGCCTCAGCTTTCCAAGTAGCCAGAATCATAAGGGTGCACTACCACGTGTGGCTAATTTTTGATTTATTGTAGAGCTGAGGTCTCCTCAAGTTGCCTGGGTTGGTCTCAAACCTGCAGGCTCAGGCAATCTACTCGCCTTGGCCTCCCAAAGTGCTAGGATTACAGGCTGAGCCACTGAGCCCAATATTGCTTGATTTTTTTTTCAAACAGACAGGGTCTTGCTCTGTGACTAAGGCTGTAGTGTAGAAGCATGATCACAGTTCACTGCAACTTCCATCTCTTGGGCTCAATATCCTCCAGCCTCCACCTCCTGAGTAGTTGGGACTACAGGTGTGCACCATCATGCCTGGCTAATTTAAAAACATTTTTTATAGCGACAAGGTCTTGTCATGTTGCCTAGGCTAGGCTTGAACTCCCAGCCTCAAAGTGATGCTCCTAACTTGGCCTCCCAAAGCACTGGGATTATAGGCATGAGTCACTGTGCCCAGCCTTGGAATCAGAAATTCTGGTACATGACCAGTAGAGGCTGCCTAGCCCTAGTAAAAACCCTGGACACTGGGTCTGTAATGAGCTTCCTTTGGTTGGCAACATCTCACATGTGTTGACACAACTCCTTGTAAGGGAATTAAGTGTGTCTTGCATATTCCACCAGGAGAGGACTCTGTGAAGCCTGCTCCTGGTCTCTCCTGGCCTTCACTGATTATGCTTGGCGACCTTTTTCTATAGTATACCCTACCATGAGTACAACTACCTATCTGCCGAAAACTCCTGTGAGTCCTACGAATTATCCAGCCTGAGATCTCTGACATGCAGGGAATACACTTGCTTGGGCAGCTCTCCTTTAATGCTTTTACCTCTTTCCATTTTGAAAATAAAAATATACTTTCTTTTGGGAAAGTAATACTTTATTTTCTGGCATACTGCAATGCTTAACAACAACGCTCATGGGGGTTCATGTCCTGGAAGCTCCAAGGAAGGGTTCTGCCACACACAATCACATCCTTCACCCAGCTGCCTGGCTTCGGGGACACATGGAGGAGTATGATATTAACAAGGAAGGCAAACTAAACAACAATAAGATCCACACTCCAAAGTTTTGTTTACACAAGATCAGAGCCACTCAATGAGTTTCTAACTCACTACGTCTTTTAGGGAATAAGGAAGAGACTGGTATGAAAAGGTTACTGCAGTGCTATAGCGATTCTGGGTGGCGGGCTCTCAAATATTTGTCCTACAGTTGTACAAGTGCCTCAGACATTCAAAAAAAGTCCATATCGAATTTCAATAAAAAAAAAAACACTTATCTGGCAACTCCTTGGTAATCAATAAAAGTGGTCAGAATAAACTTTAAAGTTTATAAAAAGCATATAAATAGGTAAATTGCTTCACAAATACCAGGTAGGCCTTGGTCGATTCAGATAATCCTGGATTGTTGGCCCTGAAGACTGGATTGGACCTCTTGATCGGGCCATTGCTATTGGGTTCATGTAGGCCTAGAGGAAAGAACAAAAATTAATTCTGTTAAAGCAAACATTTAACATGCAAAAGCTCCCTTACTCCTTAGATAATCTTTATTATAAATGTATACTATATCCAACCAAGCATGAGTAATCTGACTAACCAAACTTTCATTATATGAAAAAAAATTTAGCCATCTTTTAAGCCTTGAAAGTTTGGGAGATAGTAATATCACTATGTTCTTTTTACCAGGGATTTGATGAAATAATAATGATACACCTTGCCTACTACATGGCTTTTTTTGTTGTTTTTTGTTTTTGAGTTGGAGTCTCACTCCATGGCCCAGGCTAGAGTGCAGTGGCACGCTCATGGCCACCCCAGCATCGACCTCTGCGGACTCTGGTGATCCTTCCGCTTCAGTCTTCCAAGCAGTTGGAACTACAGGCATGCACTACTACACCCAGCTACTTTTTTATTTATTGTAGAGATGAGGTTTTGCCGAGTTGCCTGGGATGGTTTCGAACCTGCGGACTCAGGCAATTCATTCACCTTGGCCTCCCAATGTGCTAGGATTACAGGCTAAGCCACCAAGCCCGCCCTAGATGGCTTCATGGTGCTTTCTCCTAAAGCCTAATACCCCTTTGATAATACTCAATTCCAAATAAGTTAAATTATATATAGGCTACAAAAAAATAAATAAAACTTCATCAAATAAATAAAATGTTTGTGTATCAAAGGACACTATCAAAAGAGTGAAAAGACAACTCACGGAATGGGAGAAAATATTTGCAAATTGTATGTCTGATAAGGGATTAATATCCAGAACATATAAAGAGCTCCTACAGCTCAACAACAAAAATCCGATATCACTCAATTCAAAATGGGTAAAGGACTTGAATAGACATTTCTCCAAAGGAGGTATACAGTAAATGATCACTGAGCACATACAAAAGAGTTCATCACTAGTCACTAGGGAAATGCAAACTAAAAGCACAAACAGGTGTATCTCACGCCTTTAGGATAGCTAATATCCAACAGAAAATCAAGGGTTCGCAAAGATGTGGAGAAACTGAAACCCCTGCATGCTGCTGGTGAGAATGTAAAATGGTGTGGCCACTGTGGGAAACAGTTTGGTGACACCTCAAAAAGTTAAACATAGAACTACCATGTGATCCAACAATTCCACGTCTAGGTATATAACCCAAAAAGCTGAAAACAGAAACTCAAATAGATACTAGGACACAAATTTCATAGCAGTATTATTCAAAATGTGGAAATAATGCAAATGTCGATCTCTAGATGAATGGGTCAACAAACTGTGGTCTACAAATACGATGGAATGTTATCCAGCATCAAAAAGGAACGAGTCTAATCCATACTACCATCTGAAGAAGCCTTGAAAACACTATGCTGAGTGAAAAAAAATAAACCAAACACGAATGGACAAATATTTGAGTCCATTTATGTGAGGTACCTAGAAAGAGCAAATTCAGAGAAAGTAATATAGAGTTTACTGGGGCTGGGAAGTGGAGACTGAAAGTTATTGTTTAATGGGTACAGAGGCTCTTGTTTAGGATAATAAAAATGGAGGTTTGCACAACACTATGAATGTACTTATTCCACTAAGCTATACACTTAAAAATGGTTAAAACAGCAAATTTTATGTTATGAATATAAGTAAAAAATCTTAGAAAATTGAAACATGCTGTGCATACTACACTTACTACAGCAGAAAAACATTTTAGCGATGTTTTGAAAAACATATTAAGACAAAATAAAGCAAAAGTTTTTTTGTTTTTTTTTTTTTGGTTAATGAATGTGTCTGGCAAAGAGATGGTTTATATAATCCACTTTGCTATTCATATACGGTCTGGTCTTTAATTCAGTCCCAACTTCTTGATCTTCATGTTTCATTTTCCCAAACTTAATTCAAATCAACAAACACAAAACCCTTCGATTTTTAAAATAAAACAGTTTCGCTTGAAAGTGACTATTGTCAAGGTCAATTTTAAGGCCTTATGCCTAATACTTAGCATTCCAAAAGTGAAAAGAAACACTGTTACTTGTAGAATTTTGCATAACAAATCTGTAAAAATGGCCAACATTTCCCACCTTCATAACAAATAAAAAGTTACATACTTCTGGATTTCTCTGGTAGAGTAAACCATATAAAATCAGCATAAACATCACATGCTGAGAACTATTTCCATTCAACTGACACAGCCTAACTGTCTCAACAAAACTGACATAACTTTCTATAAGCAGGATCAAATGCTAGAACCCCTAATATCAGGGGTGTTTATGGACTCAGGGCAAGATATGGTTATCAGATGCAATCTCAAAGACAGGCATACAATAACATTTCTTGTCAAGTGCCTCTGATGAGCAGTTCAATAGGATGGTGTGGAAGTATGACAAACAATGAAGGCAGAAACAGAGGAACTGCTCGTCCAAGACACTGACAATCCTACAACTGAAGTGTAATGTGCAGGTTGGTTGACATTTGTATAATAGGATCATTATTCATACTGCTCAGCTGAGTTAAGTTTGGCTCAAAGAAGCCTCCCTCTTAGGTGGGTAATACAATTTGGCCCAATGCAGCTGTGTGTATGGTGAACTATAACCTAGCCTGATGTGCAAGCAAGTTGTATCCTGTTACCCAAGTAAATGCGTCTCAGCCAACCACCCTGCAACCCAACCCTCAGCTGAGCCCAGGCTGAAGGTTGCCAAATTATGCCCAAATGAGGCAAACTGAAACTGCATGGATCAGGTCCTCTCTCCAAGCCATTCCGTTGTTAATGTTATAAATACAGTGCCCCACGTTATAGGTGGGGGCACGCAGGACCATCTTCCTCCAGCTCTAGAAGCTTTCTATTGCTCAAAAAAACTTTATTACATTTAACTGGACTCTCTCTTTATTTTTTAAACATATCAATCATTTTCTGATACCCTTGGTATCATGTCATAATTTTAGCAGCAGCTTAATTTTTAAGTTTAAAATTGTAAAAATTGACCTGGCATGGTGGTTCATGACCATAATCCTGTAAACTTTCTGGTTGGTCCAGAAGTTCAGGACCAGCCTGGGCAACATGGTAAGACACCAATCTCTACAAAAAAAAAAAAAATTTTTAAAAAATTAGCTAGAGTACAGCAGCAGGACACAGTTCACTGCAGCCTCGAACTCCTGGGCTCAAGAGATCTTCCCACCTTGGCCTCTACAGTAGCTAGGACTACAGACATGTACCACCATGACTGGCTAATTTTTAATTTTTTGTAGAGATGGTTTCCCAGGCTGGTCTTGAACTTCTGGGCTCAAGCAATCCTCCCACCTTGGCCCAAAGTGCTGGGATGACAGGTGTGAGCTACTGTGCCTGGCCACTTTTATGAGTCTTAATGTCTACTGTCAAACTGCTTTCCCGAAGTACATACCCACTAGTCTCACTTTTCAGAGGAAAAAAATAGTAAAGTAGTATATTCACATGATAGTTATGGGCAATTTATGGCACAATTACATGAACCACTTTTGAGTAAGGCTTATTTTTTTAGCTTTTGACCACAAGCACTATCTTGGGAGGCTTAAAAAGTCTACTCCGTGGACCCCTACTGTTTATTTCAATTGTACTAGCAGTATTTATTAAGTATATTTTATGTGCTAGGCTCTACACAAAATACTTGATGGTCTGTGTTCTTAATCATAAAGCAACAATACTTTTTTTTTTAAAACTAGGCACAACAAAAAGTTTTAAAACAAGAAAACTATTTTTACAAAGTACAAGACTTCCCACTTGTGCATCAGTGTGAAAAATAACCTCCTAATATTCAGGAGTGGTGTGGTTGAGCATTTGTTAAAATACGAGGGGGGAGGGAACACCATAAAATATGGAATTAATTTATAAAAAACTGTGTATCCTTACATGTTTAAGTCCCCTTCAAAATCCTTTTGGTTGATGCCATGCACCTGTGGAGATGCCCTTTCCACTGCTCGACAGTTTCTGAACTCCTCCATTTTGATGCCTTTTAGTGCTTCTTGCTATTTTTTGTTTCACCTCTTCCACACTGGCAAAATGTTTCCCTTTGAGGACTTTTGTCATTGGGGAAATAAAGTCAGTGGGGCAAGATCAGGTGAATAGGGGGGCCACAGGGGTCAGGTCACTGTTGGTCAAAAACAGCTGAACACTCAGCATGGTGTGGGAAGGTGTGTTGTCATGGTGGAAGAACTAGTCACCTGTCTGCAAAAACTCAAATGTTTCTTCAGCAAATCATGATCCTCAAAACTTCCAGATAAAAACTCTGGTTGACTGTTTCATCCAGAGGAACAAATTCCAAATGTACTATAGGGGGCTCACTCTCCAACAGATAATTCTGGAATTTTTTAGGGTCCCCCTCTAATATAGAAATTATGTAATTTATTTGAACATCTCACTATGACTTAATAACTTGAAATACCATGACACTGTATATCATTCATATTCATAGGTAACTAGACTTGTCTGTGGCTTCAAACTGCTGCCTGAGTCTGGATAACGGAAAATGCTGTTTCTGAAACTCAAGACGGCAGCTGGACTCAGGGGCCATGTAAGTGGGCAGATACAAAAAGGGCCGTGCAGGGGACTGTGGGAGACTGGATGTGCAAAGCTCCACTGCTTACTCAGATCACTCACATTTATCTAGAGGATACATCTATATATAGAGAGGGCATAAAGTAACAGACAAGAACATGAAGAAAATTTCTGGAAAACAACAGGCACAAAGGGTGGTCATATGAATTCAAGAGCTCTTTACAAATCCCAAGAACTAAACTGTTCAAGAACATACTCCAAGAGTGAACCCTAATGGGCTCTGGATGATAACAACCCATCAGTGTGGATCTATCAAATGTAACAACTCCCACTCCCTGTTAGACACTGACCATGGGCGAGGCCATACATGTGCAGAAGTATACAGGAACTCCACCAACCTAAAAATACTCTAAAGTATAGTCAGTTTTGTTAAATAAAAAGAGCTCCACACCCAGGCTTGGTGGCTCAGCCTGTTA